TCGCGGCACGCAAGACTGCCGACTCGTGTCAAAGGCAATTTGCTTTCGTCCAGACCTTTTCGATGTTGGAACCTGTTTCGTTGAGCTCTCGGCTACAACCTCTCCCAGTCTGAGGCCACCAGGTATTCCCGGCCAGATTATCTTATTGACGTCGCTTTGGCAGGCGGGTCGAGCATTGCAGACGCAATCCAACTGTCCGCCCTCAGCTGTATTCAAGTAGGTCCGTTTTCAATACTACCAATGTCCTGCCCCTAGCCGTGCTTTCTCGTAATGCGTGCCTAGCTCCCATCCTGCCTGAAACTCTTAAGGTGTTGTTCTCACTGAATACGACAGCCTCGGCGGCGAACGGGTCTGTTATTGACACAGAAGGACAAACTTACTCCGCCGTGACTTCTGGACATTTCGCCGCAGGACACGGCCACATATCCAATGAGAAACAATCGTGGGTAGGGGTTTTCTAAGAAGCTATCACACACCCCTCTAGTTACCTCTCCTCAGAATCTGCCTAGGTGATATCGAGGTATTTTGCAGGGATGTTGTTTCGGGTATTAATAACGGAACGTGGTGGGGTTCTCTCACCCCTGTGTATGACATAAGTGAACCGTCACGGTAAACGTTTGCTCGGTTATTAGGTTTCTATTTCGTTTGACGTTAACAGCGGATACTTATAACATACTTACACTCTAAAGCCCTATGGTAACACTGGGGACTCTCGACCTATCCGTCAGGCGTCACGAAGCATTTCCGTATTCTAACGTTGCATAAGTGTATCGAGGATAAGTCGAGTAAATACTTTGTTCGACCATCTTCCTCTCCCCGGGGGTAGCCTTTGCCCTCGTTAAGGAGAAGGACCACACTCTTCGCCTATGTGTCGACTATTGCCGATTGGATGCCGTTACTAAACGTGACGCCTTCCCATCGTCTCACGTCAAAGATGTCTCCTTGATGTTGTTTCAGGGACGACGTGGTTCTTTATCCTAGAACTGGCGTCTGGGTAGAGGCAAAATGACTTTCATCTGGCCGACCGGGCGAAGACGGCCTTCATAGTAACTTCCGGACGCTACGAGTTCAATGTGATGCCTTTTTGACCGGGAGAACGCGCCGGCGATGTTTCAACAGCTAATGACGACTGCACTGTGCGATAACACCGACAGCCTGTCTGATTTACCTTGAAGATATTAGCGTACACGACAAAGTGATCGAAGTACAAAATACACACTTGAGGGAAGCTTCATCACGGCTGAAGGGCGCTGATCTCGTGTTACGAACAGAAAAATGCGAACTTTTGCGAAAACAGGCTTCGTTCCTTCGTCACGTCATGTCCGCTTCGGGTATACATCCAACCCCAAAAATAACCTACATACTTGAGGAGGCAACACCCAAAACGGGACAGGAAATTCATAGCTTTTTCAGTCTTGCGTCCTACTACAAGTAGATCCTTCAAAGGTTTGCTGGTATCGCCGCGCCCATGTACTGATTGGGAGAAAAGTCCAGACCCTGCCTTTGGACTAACAAGAACAACTGTAAGAATAAGGCTTTACTTAGGTATA